TGCTTGAAACAGTCACAAAATCGGTTCAGACAAAACCTCAAACATCCCTCATCCTACCTAGCAGCCAACCCATCAGCCATCTTCCTGCCCACGTAAGTACTTTCTTTTTACCTTCTTCTGTTTGACAATGTTTTGCCTTTCAACATGGCCACTTACCTTCCTCTTTCGGACTTCAAGTTTTCAGAACTCTTCACCATGTCTTCCCAAACACCCGACATAACACACGTCGTCGCAATCGAACCCCTACTTCGCGGGTATCAACAGCAAGAAGAAAAAGGCCCGCGGCAACAAAGCAAGAGGTCCTTTCAACTCCTGTGAGTTCCCGCTGTAATTCCAGCAACCTCAAGGAAGACGAGAGAATACCCCTTCCCCGGAATTTTCCTCAAGTTCACAGCTTTGTTGAAAAGAAAGCTACCGGGTGTATGTACAACCGACGCAAAGACCACTCCGTCAACGGCGTTAAACCCAAAGACATGATGGCCTTTGTTCAAGCCCTCGCTGACAAGCACATGATCGAGTGGGTATTCAAATTGGTGGACCCCGCTTTCTGCTGATGGGGAAAAGCTCCTTATGTACGAGGCCACCAACGGTACTTCTTATGACCAAAGAGGCTTTGTTATCATGTGCCCCAGAGTGAAGTTGACGAACAAACTGGTGAACGTTTCTTACCCCAGCTCCAACCCCAGAAATGGCCTTGAAGTGGTTCAATGAAACCTTTAAACGGCCTACATGCAATACGTGTACGGCCCGGCAAAGAAGGATGAACCCTACCTAGTTCTCGACGAACAGGACAAGTGGACAAGGTCCATGACACCTGGAGTGAACTGTCACCCACTCCGACATCATGACTCACCTTGGACGGATTCTTGGATCGATCAAGGCGAATACCGCACTGTATCCGAATTCCTCAAGGACGCAAGGGCCATGTGTACTCTATTTGGCCTCGTGGTCAACTCCCGGCTTCACGTCTTTCGTCCGTTGATTTCACCGAAACAACCTTGATGCATCGGACTTCGGTCGCTGCGGGCCATCACTGGTGCCCGTCGCAAAATTATTACAAGCCACTACGCACGCACACCATCCCCCGCCCCCACCTCTACTCCACCAAGTTCGCCTTCAAGCTGCCACACTGGCCCTTCCCCATGGTTTTGCACTACCCCCCGGCATGAACTTTGACACCTTCTTGGGAACTCTTCTGGAAAAGCACCAACAGGAGAACGGTGGTAAGTCTCCTACAGTAGCTTCCCGTATAAATCCCCCGTGCCCTCACTTTCAAATCCTCAATACTGGACCTTCCAATATTATTCGCAAATCATTCCCAGTTCCAATGCAACCAAATACGTCATCTCCCGTCCCACCTGTTCCAACGAACCACGTCGCCAAAGTATCACCTGCGAATAGTAGAATGATGACACTCCACAAGGTATGAAGAAAGCTGCCGAACTTCCTCACGATCCTATTACCGAATACCCCAGTTCCGACGAAGAGCGGGAAACAGAGGAAAAAGAAGACACCAAGCTCCCAGCGGAAGCGAGCCAACCCTCCACTTAACACACGTTGACTTCAAATTGCAAAACCTAAACCCTAAATATAAGCCACATGATTCATTCGATTCTATTCACCATTATCCTGTATTAGTAGACAAGTTAAACTAGTACTGGAAACGGAGACGACCCAGGGGGCATATGAATACTCAGAAAAGACTTAAAGGAATACAACCCTGGCTCCCAGCCCCTCTTTGCTCTACTTTTTCATTACTAGTATTTCAATCTAATTTATTGACTCTATCAAGATGATGTTACTACCGCCTCCATACAGCGGCTACTCCTCTCAACAAAGGCTACTACTCACCACCATGACAAGCTCCTCTTGTTTGGATAGCGGCAGCGGCGGCCGTTCTTTCGTTCGACCGATCGATTGACGACAGGATCGATTCGTCGGCTTCGGTTGATGACTTCTTTCTTCTTCCACGGAGCGACTCTCTTTCCTTCCAGCGACGACGATGACGCCTCCTCTTCCACGGAACGACGACGCCTCTACCGCCAAAGCGACAACAAGCGACTACTAGTAGAACGACAAGCGACGCCAACAATTTTCTTCGGTTGTTGCTTGCCGATCGACCGCTCTGATCGACCGATCGACACGATAGACGAGGCGACCGAGCGACCATGACACGAAGCCAACGACGCGAAGATCCGCCGCAACAAGGCTTCCGCTACTGCTACTACTAATGCAACCAACTGCGTCTACTCTAATTTGATTGATCGACTGGCATGAAATCTGCTCCATTTTGTGGTCATCAAGCCAACAATTCTCTTTTGCAACTTTGAGTTGGGTGCTCCAGCCATCATGCAAAGCCAACCATTCATTTACATGACTCTACAGTGCAGATTGGGTGCTGAGAGTGAGGACAGGAGCACCTTTCCCATGGAGAAATGCATGGCAAAATGACAACAAAATGCAATCCAAGCCTGTTTTTCCCGAGAAGCTCCATTGAAAACCTTGGAGTTGATCAACTCTTTTCAAGGGGAGTGTCTGTGAGTGTGTTGGTGAGCCACTGCTAGCAAAGAATTGATCAGATCAAGGTATTGGTAAAGCTAATAGCCATTTGGTCAACACTGTTGCCATGGTGATAAAATTCATTTTATTAGCTTCAATCTTTTCTTTATTCCAACTAGTCATTTCAATGCAGGATTCGCGAAATGACCACTTCGGTTAGAAATGACCGCTTACGATTTTGGTTTGGACAAAACGAGTTTTGGAAATGTCAAATGAATCTGCACTGGAGGGCCAGTCCGTAGCGTAGTTTCGGAGCTACCCATAACTTCGTTTGCAACACCAACACGCAATCGCAAAGCGACAACCAACACAGATGCAACATTGCAACAAGGCTACTGCCGCCATGACAAAGCTTTGGGGGGCTCTCCTTCTTTGGATGCTTCTAATTGCTGTGATCTCTTCAGGCAATGCTTTTCCCTTGGGGACCAACCATCGGCACATCGGTACCTTCCATGCTTTTTCCGTTGTTTCCCCAAGATGTGGTTGCAGATTATTGAGAACCAAGGTTGAAGAAGAAGATGACGACGACATGCTAAGCATGGAAGCCTTTCAAAAGGCCAAAGAAAGGGCTCAAAAACAACAAGCTGCTGCTTCTGCTGCTGCTGAATTGGAAGAATTTGATGGATACAAAATGAGGGATGCCATTTACGAGAAATGGGGTGCCTGCTACGACGTGGACTTCAATCGCGTCGACAGTTTTGGTTTTCGGTCTCTCTACTTGAATGTGCTGCCCTTCCAATTGGGTCGGCGGCCCTTTCGGCACGAAACGGAACTGGATTATCTGTGCCACTTGCAGGCCGTGGTGGAGATTTTACAGAAATACAAAAATCTCGAATACGTTTTGTATCAGATTCAAGAGACTGACAAAAAGCCGCGGCCAGGGACGAGTCCCTTGGTGGCTGTGCCATTGAGGTTGGATTTGACACCAGAGCAGGTAAAACAAATTACGAATGCCTGAATATTGCTACGGTAGCTACTGGTAGCTATACCAACAGTTAGCTAGCTAGCTAGAGCCACCAATAATGAATAGAACTACTATACAAGAGAAACAGTCAAGGGGACTTCTTGTTTCACTCATCGGACTGGCCATCTTTGTCCGCACCAATCCTGATAGCACTGACTAATCCTCGTCCAGTCCCAATACAATGCTGACATAGTCTTTCCAATCCAGGTCCTTCAAGACACCACTTTTCTTTTTTTGCCTTGATTTCTTCTTCTTCTTCTTCTTCTTGGAGCCCTTTGATGACGACTTTGCCGTGTATTGTTGTTGCTCTGCTGCCATTACTTCTGGACGGTTCTTTGCTTCTTTCTCTTGTTGCAAACCCATCGCAGCCATGGGGTCCAACAAGACATCCAACACGTAAAATGGCAATTGTGAGGATCCACCTCGTATATTCACGACAAGTTTGTTGATTTTTCGCTTTCGGGACCACAAAAAGTGAAGGTAGATTCGAGCGCAAATCAGGCGCTTGATCACGGACACCAAGGCTGGCTTGGCACTGGTTGCCGTTGTTCCAAACACCAATTGCATCATCCGCGCCATGGCATCCACAGTCAATATCAACCCCACAATAACTTCCAGTAACAAGGACACTTTGGAAGTCAATTTGGCTAGGATTCGTTGTCGTTCGGCAGGATCGGCAGATCTCCACGTACTGGGTGTCACCAACAAACTCATGACAACATTGATGCCTTTCTGACTCACTTGCAACAGATTTTCAATGGCTTCATGACCACTGTCATCTTCCTCATCACTACTTGATTGGATACTCGCGGACCACAGCACCAATACATCCGAGATGACCAGCATGGTGGAGACCACTTCTCTCAAGAGAATGGGCAATACCAATACGGACGGTATCCACGACAGGCTCTTACTGTTGTCGCCCGACACAAACAGTGGTGTTGTGGGATTGGATGGCAACCACAAGAGGACACATGCCGCATAAAAGACATATTGCGAGACTGGATCGGCGGCTAATTGTTCCATCCATACCCGTGCTTTGCGCAATCCGACGTCGGGAATGGCACGCCCCGCAATCAGAGCTGCACCCAACAAGCCCGCCACATGTTTGGTCATGGCAAACAACATGGTGCGTTTCAACAAGACACGCCGCAGAGGGCTGTTGGCGGGCAACATCAGCGAGGCAAAACCAGCCGAACTGGCCAACAAACTGCAAACACATTGCAAGGCATGAGCACCGCCGTGTGACTTTAAAAAGTAGCTAGCGACGACCGAGGAGGGAGATCCAGCGACACCGCCATCGTCATCCTCCCGTTCCTCTGTTGTTGTCATTAATTGTTGTAGTTGTGGTGGTCGATCCGAAGCCCCCAGGGCTAATCCTACCGAATACACGGATAGATCAATTCGATCCAGCAGTGGATTGTTGGTTCGCAGTTCGTCGGCTCTGCTTCTGAAAGGACCCACGAAAAGGGACAACGATAGATGGTATAGTGAGGAAGGTAGCTATTTTTCCTTGCTCATTTCCCGGCAATTCCAACCTACCTAATGGCATCTCCCAAGGCTTGTGCCGGATCCTGTTCCATGGCTTGATTGATAGCACCCTTACCGTCTCCGCTGCTACTTGCATCGTCATCGTCTTTCGTTGTGGCTTTCTTTTTGGTTTTGACTGATCCTGAGGAGCTCTTCTTTTTGCTCTTGGAGTTCTTCTTCTTATTGCTCTTCTTTTTAGAAGAAGACGGTGCTACCGATGAATCGTCGCCACCTCGAAGATCCAATAGCAGTGGATCCTTGCCCGCAAAAGCGGTCGAGGGGAGAGCAAGATCTCCCTTCAGGCCGAATCGGGCTGAATCGCACGAACGAGCAGCCAACACCAGAGAAAGCAAAGGCCATAATCTCCCCATCGGCTTCTGTCTCCTCTTCGCGGGTGATACTCTCATGGTGCTATGTGCTTCGTTCTGTCGGTATCATCAAGAGCATGCAACATGAAAACCCAAGCCCAAGGGTCAAAGATCCATCGAGTGCCAAGTGGAAGCAAACCAATCACGAGCGTCTCATTATTCGTGATTGGGCAGCTGCCGACAACACGTCAGAAGAGACAACCACCCACATCATATTCCACGCTGCTTTTGGCGAACTGAAACCATGGCGCCCTTAGCTGCTCCAACCGTTTTGATTTGGGTTACTTAGCCATTGCCAAAAATTTCCAGAGATGTGCGCTCATCCCTCCTCTAACTATTGCGCACCGACATGACTGTGCGGGAATCTTCCTTTGGTCACAATCTTTGTCTTTTCTTTGGCTTTTCCGGTGAGAAACGACGAAAATGGCTTCCACCACCGGTACCCGAGGCCGCGGCAAGACGCCCACGAGATACCGGTCGTCGTCGAAACGCAGTGAGAGACGTTCCAGATCACTGAGACGAACCACCGCTGAGAGATCCAAAAGTAGTAGTAATAATAAGAAGGGCATCATGGAGACTCCACCGCACGAAGAAATTGAAGTGGGCTTGGATGCCAAGGCGGATCAGATCACCATTGTGGTTGGGACGGATCAGAACACGGTCCAGAGTGTGGTCGTCCTCAAGTCCGGTTTTACCACCAAAAAGAAGAAACCAAACAGACTCTTGTGGAATCGTCGCAGCAGATCCACGTCGCGATTTTCCGACTCATCGTTGCCTTCCTTGAATCCTCCTCCAAGATCAGAGCTGTTGCGTCCAGACTCTCCAGTATCTCTTCGTGCCAGTGTCTTTGACGGTAGACAGCGAGATCAACCACTCAGGGGCAGAGATGCCGTTCGTGACGATCCAGGCATGCAAAGGCCAGCCATGGTGAGAGTGGACGAAGAAGAGGAACGTGAACCCACTTCCATTTTGCCGGGACGATTGAGAGGTGCTTCCAGCAAAAGCAAGTCCCGTCGTGACAACAAAAAGTTTAAACAACCCATCATTCGACTTGACTCGCATGGGTATCACAACTTTACACCCACGGAAGAAAAGAAAAAGCGAGGAAAGCAAACAAAGAAGGAAGAACCCTTGCGAAAATTCCGCTATGAGCAAGAAAAACCCAGCAGATCCTACAGGCCTGGATTCCGCAACAACAAGGTCGACCCGGTGGTCATCATCACGGACTGTTTCTAAGCTACCGTATCTTTACAACGGGCCGCTTTGCCCCAACTTACAATTCCATGCAAGCTACTTTGGAGGTGGCTTTCTGTATTGGAATGAAATGAATACTTCTGCTGTCTCACCTCTTGACTTTTATTAATTTGCATCCGAGCTCGGCTTCACAACCCAGCTCCCTTGCGTTTTTTTCATTGAAAGCTTCTTTGGAAGTGGCTTTCTGTGTTGGCATACTACATGTACGTGTACTTGCCTTTTTGCATCCATCCATCCTTGCTTGAAATCGATTCGATTCGATTCAATTGCACGCACCGCAAACTTGGTTGCTGTGTTGGTGCCTTCAATACTACATTTGTTTACATACAGTACATGCATAATTTGGAGAACTAAATCTTAGCTACACTTTATAACCGCACTGTTTCATTCATTGTAAGGCCGCGGCTTCGTGATCGGATGCTGCTGGCAAGCTAACCAGTTGTAACTGTCGAATCGGAGCATCTCCGCACCCTTGAGCTGCATGGTGTCGCAGTTGCTTTGCGGCTCGTGTTGGTTTCAAAAGAAGCTACCTAGCTCCAAGGTATCTCGACTGGGCACTTCAACATCACCAACCTCTTTTCCCGCGCCTCGTGGGGGTTCATCTCTCTACCTCTCTCTCGCCCATCACTCGCTTTCTCTAACCGAGGCGGTCGGTCGTACCGGACTCCTTTGATTTTGGCGGCCCCTCTCACCAGCTGACTTCGTGGCAAAACCTGACTTGTGCAATCCGCATCAATCCTCAAATAAAAACTGTAGTCGACCGCTTCACAGCGAAACAAGCGGTGCCTTGCGATTGCAAGTCCCACCACTGCCAGCCTGCTAAAATCGTATGACCCTCCCGAGATCTGCATGTGGATATTCTGCCGTTTCATGTTCACGACAAGAACACACGATTGTAACATCGATTCGATTCCGACTAGCTAGTGGGATGGACAGCTACCGGCAGCTAGCTAGGAGTCTACTGTTGGCCGCGATTTGTATAAAACGCCATTTGCCGGTAGGGACTGTTGTCGGGGCGTGACACTCACGTTGGTGCTCCAATGCTCAATTCTGTGTACCGCTGTCATCAGAGTTGTTGATGATAGCAATCTGTCCATCCATCCATACAGGAAGGGAGCAAGACAGAACGTGTTAGCTGTAATAGTTGTTTTTTAGTTTCTAGGTAGGCGAGTCGCTCCCATCACACAAGTGTGCGTGTGTGTGTCGTGTTAGTGGTGCGAGTTGGAAAAGATGGAGAATGGTGATTTCAAATGATGCCATAACGACGACATGGCACCTGAAAAAAGTTTGTAGAGTGTTCGATGACCACGGTTCCCTGAAACAAAAATGATCCACGAAAACAAGAAAGCAAGTCGAGGGGTGAGTGAGTTGTGTTGAAACGACTCGTTGTGACTTTGACGTCTTTTTGGTACGATGCCGTTTAGGTTGGCTGTATATGTACGATACAGTACGTACCATGAAAGTACTTGGCATACAGAAAACAATCGTACTGTTGATTGTGAATGTTGTAATAATTTTCAATGGCGCAAGTGCGGTAGAATCCCAATTTTTCGTAGAATCGAATGGCCGCTCGATTAAAGGGAATGACATGTAGATAGAGCGCCCCGCAGGTAGGATCGGATTGTACCAATTCCATGCATTTCTGTACGAGCGACGTGGCAACGCCATAGCCTCGGTATTCTTCGACCGTCCCCAATGTCATGATATAGAATAGCTTGGAATGTACCTGTGGCGTGGGTACCAGTAATTGTTGCGTGGCAGTATTGAGACGGGAGGGATGCAAAAAGGCACCGACAACACAGCCCACAATGATTTCGTGGCTGTTATCATGTTCATCATCAGGTGGGTCGGGTTTTTGCGGTTGGATCATGGTTGGCGGTGGTGGGTTGTCCGTAGATTGCGTTTCTTGACAGTACATGTGTAGTTGCATTTGTTCCGGCTTTTTGGTGGGACGTCGTTGATTGGCGGGTGTATTGGGTACCGTGGCGACACATGTAAAGAGATGATCTCCCGAGGTGGCGAGTCGATGATTGTTGACCAAATCGTTGTAGAATTCGTTGCTGTACGTGACGGGAAACCACTGTTCGTGCAACTCCTGTATTTGTTGTCGATCGCACGGCTGTAACGGCCGAAATGACAATTGGAGGTCTTCTTCATCGCCTTCGGAACCACTGGACGACCGAGACGAATTCAACGAAGGAATAATCATGCTTCGGTTAGCATGGCCTTCTTCCACCTTTTCGTACTCGTCACTTGTGGAACTGCTGTTGTCGTCGTCGTTGTTCTCGTCATTATAGTAGTCCCCGTCGCTTAGAATGTCATCGTCGTCATCGTCATGGTCTCTCTTGCTCAACCCAAACCAAGGCATCCTTCTTCTTATCTCTTACGGTAGTTAGTCTTGACTGCGTGGTCCTGTCTCTCTTTTGCCCCTTGCTTTCTATTGTGACTGTCTTCAAGTTTTCGCTGGCGTAATGCCGTGACGGTGGCCAAAACAATAAATAAATAAATATCTTGCACCACCCCCATAGCCGAATTTCCGGACAAGTCCCCTTCGGGACTCCTACGATTAATCCATCCGAGCTGCAATTTCGTCTCCTGGAGACGATTTGCTTTAGGGGTAATGGTACCGATGGGGGCAGAGGTTTGAATTATACCCGGCGCGCATTACTTAGAAGGCCCTGTAGAAGTCTACGTATTCGACTAGTATTGTATTGACGGGATACAGTTCAACGCATGTACATGCACATGAAAGTCGCCTTGCGTTCTTCACATTTTAAAAGTTGGCTCCTAATTTTTCGGGGTCGCCTGTGATTTGATTGGACGCTTGATCTTTTTTCAATGACTGACATTGAATGACGTACGAGGTGCAATGCGAATCTCAGAAAGGTAGTTGTAGTAATAAAAGTTTTTATATATAGATTAATTTACCCTATATCCCTACCGTTTATACTTATAACAAGAACCCCGTCTTCTCGCTGGAACATTTCATCGTATTGATCTTCTCCTAGGACAGAAAGCCCAATAGTATCCTTAAATCTTGCAAGCATGTCTCTCATTCGTTGTGGCATGGCAAAGTTCTTGGATCCCAATCCAGCTTCTTCAATAAGAACAAACCACTCATGTTCGCACCCTTGATAACACCACGTAAGCCCAGTTTTGACAGTATCGCCATGATGTACCAATAACCACACTGCAGTATATCCCTGTAATTTGTGTCCAGTTGTCGCAGAATTGCTGATAATCGGAACTGCTTACCCTTCATCTTGGTGTGTACAACTTCTCCGTCATAAAACCATCTGGTGCTGAAAGTGTAGTCTTGCTCCGTTACTAAAAAGTACGTGGCATAATAGTCTCCATTTCATGTTCCACAAGGATAGATTGACTTGACCTGAGAAAAAAGCCGAATCTTGCAGCCGTTGTCGAGTTGAATAACATGGGGGTGCAACCATCCCTCACATTCACCTTTCTCACAAAAAGCCGAGATCCATTGGCTTCTCCATTCGGAACATTCGTGTTCTCTGTAAACATTACAGGACACCCTTATATAACTTCAAAGCAGGATCAACACGTTTTCGTGAGTCGAACCGGGTTTTAACGATCTTCTCCACATGTTTGAAAAGAAGTGCTTTAAACCGAATTGCTCTTAACAGGAACCAGTGTCCCTGCTTGATTGGCATTTGAAGATCGTCCATGAAAATGATTACTGCATCCATCAGCACGAATCATCAGCAGGTTTGTTCTTCCGCAAAATTCTTCGAAGATAGCTGAGTTAATGGCATTTCGATCTCGATTCAGATAAGTAGCAACTTGAATGTTCTTGGTGGAACATGGGTTGGGCCAACCACGAGGCGTCATTGATGGTCTCAATATCTTCTTCTGTTGGTCGCCCTTCACGAATCTTAAACAGCGTTCCCCCATTCAGATCGTCTTTGAAGCGGTGCTATTCCATCTAACTCAATAAATGAATTCAGAGAGTCATGAAATTCAGGAATGGTGTGCTGAAGATTGTAAATTGGGGGCGTCCCACTGGTTCAAGTTGAGAGTAGTCCCCCGGAACACCAAGTTAAGTCCCCCAAATGGTTGGTATTCGTCTTGCACAAGGTCTTGGTGTAGTGGAATTCTTCACTAAGTCAAGTTCCCCCGCGAATAAAATTTCGTCGATGATAAGCATCCGTGCGTCACTCCATTCTTCTACAAGTTCTTCGCCACACTTTCCGAGTTCTGTTCAATCCAACAGCTGAATGCGTTGTTTCCCCATGCAGTATTGTAGCAGCAACCCCGACATAGCAGGTCGG